CCCCTCCACAGTGAACAGCCTGTCATTCTCCAAAGGTAGGCTTGTAGCCTGGTGTGCCTGGGCAGTCCCTTTTCCCACCAAAGACTTGCTCCTCTATAAAGTTCTCCTGGGCTTGACTTAAGTGCATAGTGCCTATAATGTCACTCAGCCTCTGCTGGACTCCTGGAGGGCTGGGCCATGTCTCAATCAGGTCTTAAGGATCTCATGGGAGGAATAATAAATCTCAGGATCTCATGGGTTGAATAAATGAATGGCTTTCAATACCAGCCACACTTTGGTGACCCACCCAGTTTACCATCCCCAGCTGATGCCTCTCTCCTGAGCTCCTGATGATGTACATGTTCACCTTGCCACAGGCTTCTTCTCCACAGGGCTGTCCCCAGGCATCTCAGACTCCAACTTTGCCTGGAGTCTGGCTTCTCTCTTCCTCCACATCCTTGAAACACTCTCATTTCCACCACCCGAATCTCCCCACAATTATCACCCTTTGCATATCATTTCTCATCTGAGCCCTAGTGACCTTCACAACTGCAATTCCATCTCCTAATCCTACCTGACAGCCTAAGGTGGTCTCCTAGCAGCCATAGGTCAAGTCTAAATTCCTTCACACAGCAGATGAGGCTTTCCAGCATCTGGGCCTGCACCCTCATTCCAGCCTTACAGTTTTCTGCTGCCCACTACATCTCTGGCAATCTGGAACCTTCCACAATTTCGCCAAATCCATCACCCTTTTCCTGGATGACTTTCCCTTTCTGCTTCCTTCACACAGAAGTGACATTTGGAACTTCCCTTCCTGCACTCCACTGCTCTTGGTCACAACGCTATCATAGCTTAGGTACATTGGTCCTCCTTAGTGCACATACCAGCTGGAGGGCACAGCCTTCATCCTGCTTGTCTTTGCTTTCCAGGCCCCCAAAGCCTTCCTAAATGTCTGCTGGATACCTAAGTGAATGAGCCACTGACAGAGGTGGTTCTGATATTCCTGTTTGCAGGCCTCCTTGCACCCCTAGTTTGCCTTGTCTCAACCTCTCCTGGATTGCTCAAGAGTTTAAGGACCTCAGGTTAAAATTAATGATACCGCCAGGTGTTTCTTTTCCTGTAATTGTTCACAGCCTGCCTGAGCTGCTAACAGTTTCGAGATGCTCCTTTCTAAGGCTCAAGGGATGAAGCTGGAACTGGTTTTCATGGCAGCTCTGCAAATGGTGAAAAATCACTTGAATTCAACTAATTCAAATTTTGTGTGGGACAAAGGCCTGCATCAGATGTCTGCCGAGAGCT